AGACCTTGAACAGAAAGTTGTGTGAGTTGATGTTGTTTATTCGAAAATTTAAATCATCGTACCCGGTCGCATTTTGGTTGAAAGTTGTTTAAACGTACTCAAGGTTAACTATGGACGCCAAATTCGTATTTTAGGGACCGCAAATGGCTTCGTGTGGTGTCGCCTTGAAGACGGTAGAAAATTTGCACAAAAGCTGGTATCTTCACCAATTTTTTGTATTGAATATGGAGGCACTCTCAAGATTGCATGAATAATAACTGTGCCCTACTTGACCGTGCAAACTCAAAATGGAGTAGCTGCTCGCGACATAATAGTGATGTTTATTCCCAATTAGTGAGTTGCACACCTTCAGACACGAGCATAATGCTACAGTCAAAATAGGGGCATTACTGGTGGGGCTCATGGTTACTGAGGATTTCGTGGAAAAGGGACGGTGTCACAAGCAATGGACATTATCCGAAATAAACTTGGTCACGTCTTAGGTGACATGAATAGGTGACCAAAATTACAAAGGCTCTTTCCTTCTAATCGGGGACATGTCAGATGAATCAAAGTAAGGTTGTTAAGATTTAAAAGTGGGGGAAAGAAAAATTACAAAGGCTCTTTCCTTCTAATCGGGGACATGTCAGATGAATCAAAGTAAGGTTGTTAAGATTTAAAAGTGGCGGGCGAAAACAATACGGGGGAGAACATAGAAAAATGCTTCCCGCCTGGTACATGATGAAACTTCGAACTGCAGAAAATGTGGAACCGTAATAACGGATCTGGGAAGGTAGCAGAACTGCCACGGTCTAACCGGCCAACCTAGATTAAAGCCTAAGACCGTCACTGAGGCTCTGTGGCCTAGGGCTGTTGGTGATATGGCCAAGGGGGTGAAAAAGCGTAAGTGGAAATGGTTAGCCGGGGGGAATATACAGCACGGATAAATGATAGCAGGAAACTCATAATCACAGTGTGCAGTAAAACTGGAGAGAGTCACCGGTGATGCTAATGAATGGAATCAGATGCAAGAGTTCCTTAGGTGAAGGAGCCCACGCAAACGCACAAGTAGGAATGCACACTGTACGGAAAATGCCCGAGTTGATGAAGAGTGCAAAGTAAAGGACGCCAAGACTTTTAGGTCCAATGAAAAGTCCAGCAGGTTTTATTGAATGCCTCCCGGATGCGGCTGGGGCCAGATGAAGACTTTGATTTTGGTTGCAGGTGAGAGAACGAGTTAGTGTGAGGGCGCAGTCTAGGTAGGAAGTGAATAGTTTCACCCATGCTCTCAAACTTGGTATGGCAGTGCCGTGCCATTACTACACTGAGATACTTCAGTTTCTGGGCAGCCCCGTGACGGACGTTGCGATTGGGGTAGTTGGGCTGGGATGTAGAGTTTTGTGGGCAGCGAGATATTGTAGGTTTGCCAGAGGATTCCGCGGGGAGGGGGGAAAACCAATGTAATATCGCAAGTAGCATTTAGTTTTTCACTCGTTCGGGGATCCTTTCGGGCGTAATGCACAGATCGGGTGGGGTGGATAACGACCGAATAGAACGTCCATATCACGTATTGTCGCAGGTAGAAACTTGGGAAGAAGATTAAATGGGATGAGTTCGGCAAGGTCTGGAAATTCATGGGAGCCATCAAACAGGATACTGTTTTTTAGTCTGGAAAACCTGAACGGTTGACACATTTAGGGTGACGACAACAGGTGGTTAAAAAACGGGAGGAGGATAGATCTGCACTCAGTAATCTAGTCATCTCGTGATTGATGAGACAATGAGACGAACTTCCAAATGTCTTTCGAACCCCTGTGTTCATATACCTTCCGACGAAAGCCATGTCGATCTGCAATATGTAGAAGGGATCGTTCGCATCTTCAAAGAGAAGGCACAGGTGTTTCTGAATGAACTGACAAGATTATCCCGTCATTTGATGTGCACACATATTTGGTATGCTCACATAGTGTAACCTCATGCTCCTGGGCATGCAGTCACTGAAGACGTCACTTACAGTCCAAGCAGAGACGCATTCTGGAGCGTTCCAGGTACATTCGTAGTTGTTTCAGTTCGTGGTTATTCCAGTCGTAGTGTAACAGATAAATCCAATGCACGAATCTGTAAGGCTCGGGTGACGTTCGCTAGTTTGAAACACCCATGGCGTTAAAGCTTATATCTCTGAATATCAAAAGGCGTGTGTTTCGGACCATGGTAGGGATTGTTTTGTAAAATTTGGGTTAGACTTGGCCCTTTCGGTCTGCGAAACTGAGACGTCTTCAGGAGATCTACAATTATTTTCCCAGAAGTACAGCTCGTCCGGGTCGGTGCCGTCGAACCCGTAACAAGACTATAAGAAATTGATTCTCGGTTATGCAACGAAGACTTCCAATGAAAAATGTGTCCATCACCAGAAGGTGAATTGGTTAGGTTAATCAGAAGGGACGTACGCAGATGGGCACTGAAGGCACATAAGTGGATAGATTATGAGGAGTCGGGATCAATCAACCACGTAGAAAACAAAAGTGGAAGTGGTGGCATTATGGCGGTGTATGTTACCTGGATGTGGGTAAAAGGATATAAGTCCTTGGGCAGTGAGACGAGGTAAAACCAATCGTTATCAGCTACACCGTTATCATTATCTGATGCAGTTAAATCACACCAGGTGTTTCTCTCATAGTAGCTCATCTATTCCGATATTGTGGACATGGTTGTGCAAACAGAGATGGGTAGCAATGCATCGAATAAACGATGAGTTGAATGAGACCCAAGCATTTATAACAGTCATGGAGAAGTGCTTCACTGTAGATTGTAATATCGAGCGACTTTTAGTATACTGAAAATTACAAACGCAAGCACGTCGTCTGTTCCGTTTCCAGTAAAGAAGACCCGAGTTGGTGAGACTGCTTTTGCGTTTGAATATGGGATGATTAAGTTATGAGGAGCCGTCGTTTGTGATAAGCTACCTGTTAGCGTTACGAGAAAGCAGGAGTAGAAGTGTTCTAAGTCAGCAGATTTATTGCCCAGCACTCGCCACACTCACTATACCTTCGCCACGGCTGCACCCATTGGTGGACTTGTGAGGACACACGCTGCCCTTGGATCCCGTCGCTGAAGTCTATACCACTTGATCTTAGGACCTACATCTTTTTTAGCTTCAACTTCGCTGCGTCCTATACTGCATATGTTAGACGAATGCCAGGCTCAAATAGTCGATATACACACAGCTTACTCACTATCGCCAACGGAACGAATTGAGCAAGTAGTGAGTTTACCCTTGTAGCAGTAAGACCTCAGCTTTTGTGTGGACATCCATCGGGAATTCTGGCAAGAGAATTTATTGGGCAGTTGGTGAGTTAGACAGTGCAACGTTGTTTAATTTTGTTTTCATCGACATTGCGGAACAAGTATACGGATTGTGATTTACCGTACATTCTTCCTTTTAGAAACCCTGTCGAGTAGAGCGGCTTCCTGAAACTCAGAAGAGAAATGATTACACATTACGTTTGCATTGATGCAACCGATAAATAGAAACATAAATAGAAACCAACGGAAATGCTGTTTGTGCATTTTTCAGGCATGAGCTAGGCGGGCGGATGACATGTATGGATGTGAAAGACTGCCGTTGGTCGTTGGACTAGCCTTCGTGTACAGTTGTAGCCATCCGCGGGCATGAGTACAGGCCCGACAGCAATGTCGCGTGAAATTATGAGTACAAAGACAGTCGTTGACCGTTGGATTAGGCTACCGTACGTAAATGAGGCCTCAAAATCGGCCTCGCGCTTAGATGAGGGCCTAGTAGTTACGATGAGTAGTTGACTTGATTTACAACGGCTACCGTTATCATAGGGTCCGGCAATGGATGCCCTGGGTTGACATCACTATGTTTGCGCTTTATGACGTATTCCACCCGTGAAGCGTTATATTCCTAATGGGAGTGATATCATTGTGTTGGCAATGTACCTCAATTATTTCGTGAAGCTGTGTTATCCACAGACCAGTTAGGAGCATCTTGGGTGGGGGGTCATCCATAGAGATGGTCCTCGCATCGTCACGGCACAATGCGTGCAGTAACCTTACACTAATATGCTAGATGGAAGACAGCCCCCATATGAAAATTGTTGTGCCAAAGTTCACTGAACGAACTCATATCATTTGCCAGATCTGAGGAGTGTGGCGTCTGTCCTAGAAATTCAACAAACTCACCAACTGCGGCGAATTTCCGAACCTTGCCATTTTCTTCGGGAGCGTTTTGGTGCAAAATCGAGAGCTGCTGCTCTCACTTGCGTTTAAGCAGGCATAAATATGAATGTTCTTTACGTGACACAGCAGAGCAGCTTCGAATGCAATGAGGGTGAAGAAATTAGAAATATCAACCTGAACGCAAAGCCTTACGCCGTATTCACGGTCAGATCATGCCGAGCCCCGTTGAATATTAAAATAAAAATTCTGCGTCAAGAAAACAGCTTGAGTACGTTTGAAATTTTTTTTTAGAAATGCAACTGCCTCTGGATACTATAAGACTCCGAACAATGGAATACTCCACTGTTCAAATTACCTCTACTGGCCGGCTTTTGCGATCTCAAAGGCGAAGCATCCATACATAAGTCAGACACCCAGCTACCCGACTTTATAGAAATCCAACCTATAGTACCTTATTATCTTAACACCATTCCACCTCCAGGTTTAGGCATATTGCCTACTTCGCTTGCTAAAGTGTATCTCTTTATGCTACCCCGTAGTTTATACTACTAATGGCAACTCAACCACCTACACAGTCAACCATAGGTAGCCCTTTCTCTACGTCTGGTCACTCACTTCAGAGCTGCCAGAATTACGCAGCACTTTCAGATCCGAATCTATGGGTCTGTTGTCTCTTACTTAACTGTATTCTAAGTAAACCCATTTGAGCGTACAAAAGGCATGACATTTGAAGGTCGTTGCAGGTCATCTTTTCATTGGTTAATATACTTTGAAAACCCTATATAACAGCGTACCCCGTCAGTGGCATCACCTGCGCTGGTATGTTGCGTTCTGTCCCGATAAGCGAGACGTATGGGGTGCTGGAAGAACTGACTTCAGGCGCAGCGGCCACTGTTTACAGGGGTGTGCGAAAGTGTGATGGGTTGCCGGTCATCCTAAAGGTATGTACAAGAGACGCGACAGCACCCAGATTACCGGCCTCCGAAGTGACTTCTATGTGTGTACCAAACGAGTACGTCTTCCTGAAGAAGGTACAACACATCGATGGGTGTGTGCGTATGCTGGATTTCTCTGAAGAGCCATCCAACAACAAATGGACAATAGTACTTGAGGACCTGGAGGCCGCAGGCTACGTCAATCTTGCGAGGCTCATTAATTGCTCCTTCCAGTTGAATGATGTTGTCATTTCATGGATACTACGAAGCGTAGTCAAGATACTCACTGAAATCCATGCCGTTGGGGTTCTTCACTGTGATATCAAGCCAGACAACATTTTTGTGGATTTCAAAAGGTCCCTTGTAAAACTGATAGATTTCAACTTTTCTGCCGCTACGACATTCACGGATCATAACGATATTCCGCCGTGCACGCCAGATTATGCGCCCCCCGAAGTGTTGGTCAACCGGAATCCTTGGACGGTTGCGGGAGAAGTTTGGTCTCTTGGTTGTACCGCATTTGTTATGCTGTGCAGGCGTTTTCCCTTTTCGAATCCTTGGATGTCGGCCTCTATGAACCCGGCTTATCCCCCGTGCAAGTCTGATCTCGCTAGCCACTCATGCCGTAGCTTGTTAACTTATAAACCCAAGTGCACGGTGACTACGGGGGAAGCCGTGCTCTCACCAAAAGCGAAAGATTTTCTTTTATTTTGTCTTACTCGTTCGCCTTTACAGCGACCAACTCTCAGTGCGTTGTCCCAACATCCGTTTCTTAAGAACAGTGACAAAGTAATAGACATTCCAGATATTGACGAGGTGTTGCGTTCGCCGGCAATTTTGGTCTCATAGTGGTACCCCTCCTATGTGTTTTATGTGGTATATCAGTAACCGTTGCTATTGTGCAAGTGTATTAAAGATATTTGTCCTTTCATTTGACTTAAGTTTATTTATTCTCTTGTCAGTGGTGTGGATAGCCATTAGATTGGGCTTCCGGCAGTCCAGTCGGATCCTCTGAGATTCACCTATTTCTGATACCGGGGATGTGATTTTAAGTTCTTTGAGACTCGATCCGGGTGTTCGGGTTAATAACTATCTTACGCATGTCCAACATCAACATGAGTGTAAATATTATGATTAACGCAACTTCGATCGCTCCAAAGCTCTGAGGAGCTGGTGAATATACGGTGGTGGGAGATGTTTATATTAGAACCACCTCTGCTAGAACTACACTATGCCCACTGTACGTTAGGATAAAGTTGTGCAGTCGTTGCTTGAAAACAGTACCAAAAGGTTCTATTCCAGGATCGTAATCGTCAACATCTTTCTCCCTTTTCCTCTCTACGATCATATGCCATAACGACATCTTTCCTCTCCGGCAGTACGAGTTGAACGTGTCATATTTTAAATCAGACCAACCAGCAAATGACGGCAAATGTTCATCAGTATTGAATTAACAGAAGACAGCATGTATTCTGTTTTAACCCCGCACCACATTAACTTGCCCTGCCATCGAAATAAGTTCTGGCGCAGCATTCTCAAGTGCTATTTTGGGTAGTGTTTCATTTTATCCTCCACCACCGCAGTGGAGAGGGACCGTCAGTGATTGACGACCGTGTGTGACGGTAGGGTCGTCGCCAACAGTGTGCACGTAGTCTGTCACCAGGGCGTGAAGCGACCTTTCTAGGTCGTCGTCACGTAACCGCAAGTCTGTGCACTATAGGTTTTGTGATGCCATTGAGGATGTGATGGTATGTGATTAGGTCTTCAGCACCCTCTCTTGGGGAAGTCCGTTTAGTGACTCCAACCCCCCGACCCTTCCAACAGATATATCGTAGCTTTGAACTATTCCGTTTTGATTTATATCTCTTTGAATGCAAGCCGTTATCCGTGTATTCCAGGAGTTGTTGCGCATGTTTGGCACTGTGCTCTGAACGCCGTCCAGTAGCTCCCCGAGCCATCGCGTAATGTCGATTCCCATGGACCGCTGTTTTAATTGTGTCCGAGGCCATCACGCCGAGGTCTTTGCCGTATTGACGGCGTTCCATTCAAGTGAGGGGGAATGGTGCCTGCCTCGCCACTAATGCAATTGAGTGCATCTGTATGGGTCGATTATTTGCGGCTATACCCGTGACCATTCAGACAGACGATTCGTACCCTCCTGTGAGAAGTCACGAAATTTCCGCCAGTTGTCATTTGCGTGTCAACACTGATATTTCTGTCTCTGATGATAATGACCGTATACCATTCGTCATGTGTAGTAGCACCGTCGAAATCCTTGATGATTCCTAGCCCTATTTGAGACAAGAGGGAGCCATAATGATTTCCTAAAACCACACCTTGTCTCCGTTGATCTCGGTCACGCAATGTAGGCAGCAATTAAGAGGCAGCAACATCAGTGTTGATACCGTTGATTCACAGTGGCGAGATGGCCCAACTGGTTAGAGCGCGAATTTACTGACCGGAAGGTCCGTGGTTCGAACCCGACCTCTACCACTCGACTTCCCCTACCTAGACTTGGGCAACCTGGCAGTATCCCAGCCCTCGGGCAACCTTCGGGTGGCATGGCAGTTAGGCACCGAAAGGATGCTACAGCTGAACGATTTTTTAGTGGCGAAGCATCAGTGTTGAACACTAATGTTATGCTCTAGATGATGGTGGTGATTCACTGCTCTACAACCACAAATGTTTTCTAATTATATTCCTTCATGCGCTCAATCAGACAATCTGGAAAGAAACTGACAGAACACGTGTCATTGACATCGATTAGCCGCCATTTGTTGCAATGTCTCATGTCAAGCGAAGGAGGTGCCACGGGGACCTCAGCGTGAAAGGCGAACTACACAAAAACACCGCAACTCTTCGCTGTCTGTTTCATATTCTTCTGCCGAGTCATACCTTGTCAACTTCGTGGTTTGTGCCATTCTCAAGTGGGAATGGAAAACAACACTCATTTCAGTAGACGGTGTTTTGGCGTGCTTAGCGCGTGGCCGATCCATCGCAGTTAACTCTGTTTGGTGTTTTCAGCCACTGAAGTACCTGCTGCACAACTACACACCCAGTTTCTAATTACCTCCGTGAATTCGTTGACGCCACCCGACACCAACAACGCTTCTGAAGCATCGGTAGTAAAAAACCTGAATACACCTCACATCGTCTGTCGGCAGACGTCATATCTCGAAACCATACAGCAATACAGTCCTTACTGTAACATGGTCCATGTGACTCTTGTGGCGCAGTGAGATGCCTTTTTGACGCCACAATTGACGCAAATTAGCAAACGTGATTGGGATCTTTGAGGTTCGTGCGTTGACTTCATCAGACACCTTCATCAGAGCCAATACAAATACCGAGGTGTATAATCCTCCGCAACATCAAGTAGGGAGGCTTTTTAGAAATTTCATCGTACACTCACACGCCCAGAATTACGTTGGTGTAGGGACCGGCTTGTATGTAAACTTCTGGTTCATTTCATGTTGAGCAAATATGGGTAACAGCACTGACTGATTGACAAGATTGCACACACTCTTGCAGTCAATGAACACCAGAATTGTAGTTCATCTGAACATATGGTGCTGCTCTGACACTTGATGGAGTGTAGAGATGTGGTCGACGCAGCCTCTCTGAGGTTGAAATCCCGTTTGGTGCTCACGGGTTAGTGCTTCGCTCGCCCAATTCAGAGTGGCGTAAGCAGAGACGTGGTTAAACTTTAACTTGGCAGAGGGGTGTGAAGGAGATTGCGAAACGCTTGGGTGCTGTCGGTGCTTTTCGCCTTCCAGGATGGGGATCGCGTGATCCCCACTGCGCTTTGCTGGAGACACGTCACTTACAGTCCAAGCAGAGACGCATTCTGGAGCGTTCCAGGTACATTCGTAGTTGTTTCAGTTCGTGGTTATTCCAGTCGTAGTGTAACAGATAAATCCAATGCACGAATCTGTAAGGCTCGGGTGACGTTCGCTAGTTTGAAACACCCATGGCGTTAAAGCTTATATCTCTGAATATCAAAAGGCGTGTGTTTCGGACCATGGTAGGGATTGTTTTGTAAAATTTGGGTTAGACTTGGCCCTTTCGGTCTGCGAAACTGAGACGTCTTCAGGAGATCTACAATTATTTTCCCAGAAGTACAGCTCGTCCGGGTCGGTGCCGTCGAACCCGTAACAAGACTATAAGAAATTGATTCTCGGTTATGCAACGAAGACTTCCAATGAAAAATGTGTCCATCACCAGAAGGTGAATTGGTTAGGTTAATCAGAAGGGACGTACGCAGATGGGCACTGAAGGCACATAAGTGGATAGATTATGAGGAGTCGGGATCAATCAACCACGTAGAAAACAAAAGTGGAAGTGGTGGCATTATGGCGGTGTATGTTACCTGGATGTGGGTAAAAGGATATAAGTCCTTGGGCAGTGAGACGAGGTAAAACCAATCGTTATCAGCTACACCGTTATCATTATCTGATGCAGTTAAATCACACCAGGTGTTTCTCTCATAGTAGCTCATCTATTCCGATATTGTGGACATGGTTGTGCAAACAGAGATGGGTAGCAATGCATCGAATAAACGATGAGTTGAATGAGACCCAAGCATTTATAACAGTCATGGAGAAGTGCTTCACTGTAGATTGTAATATCGAGCGACTTTTAGTATACTGAAAATTACAAACGCAAGCACGTCGTCTGTTCCGTTTCCAGTAAAGAAGACCCGAGTTGGTGAGACTGCTTTTGCGTTTGAATATGGGATGATTAAGTTATGAGGAGCCGTCGTTTGTGATAAGCTACCTGTTAGCGTTACGAGAAAGCAGGAGTAGAAGTGTTCTAAGTCAGCAGATTTATTGCCCAGCACTCGCCACACTCACTATACCTTCGCCACGGCTGCACCCATTGGTGGACTTGTGAGGACACACGCTGCCCTTGGATCCCGTCGCTGAAGTCTATACCACTTGATCTTAGGACCTACATCTTTTTTAGCTTCAACTTCGCTGCGTCCTATACTGCATATGTTAGACGAATGCCAGGCTCAAATAGTCGATATACACACAGCTTACTCACTATCGCCAACGGAACGAATTGAGCAAGTAGTGAGTTTACCCTTGTAGCAGTAAGACCTCAGCTTTTGTGTGGACATCCATCGGGAATTCTGGCAAGAGAATTTATTGGGCAGTTGGTGAGTTAGACAGTGCAACGTTGTTTAATTTTGTTTTCATCGACATTGCGGAACAAGTATACGGATTGTGATTTACCGTACATTCTTCCTTTTAGAAACCCTGTCGAGTAGAGCGGCTTCCTGAAACTCAGAAGAGAAATGATTACACATTACGTTTGCATTGATGCAACCGATAAATAGAAACATAAATAGAAACCAACGGAAATGCTGTTTGTGCATTTTTCAGGCATGAGCTAGGCGGGCGGATGACATGTATGGATGTGAAAGACTGCCGTTGGTCGTTGGACTAGCCTTCGTGTACAGTTGTAGCCATCCGCGGGCATGAGTACAGGCCCGACAGCAATGTCGCGTGAAATTATGAGTACAAAGACAGTCGTTGACCGTTGGATTAGGCTACCGTACGTAAATGAGGCCTCAAAATCGGCCTCGCGCTTAGATGAGGGCCTAGTAGTTACGATGAGTAGTTGACTTGATTTACAACGGCTACCGTTATCATAGGGTCCGGCGATGGATGCCCTGGGTTGACATCACTATGTTTGCGCTTTATGACGTATTCCACCCGTGAAGCGTTATATTCCTAATGGGAGTGATATCATTGTGTTGGCAATGTACCTCAATTATTTCGTGAAGCTGTGTTATCCACAGACCAGTTAGGAGCATCTTGGGTGGGGGGTCATCCATAGAGATGGTCCTCGCATCGTCACGGCACAATGCGTGCAGTAACCTTACACTAATATGCTAGATGGAAGACAGCCCCCATATGAAAATTGTTGTGCCAAAGTTCACTGAACGAACTCATATCATTTGCCAGATCTGAGGAGTGTGGCGTCTGTCCTAGAAATTCAACAAACTCACCAACTGCGGCGAATTTCCGAACCTTGCCATTTTCTTCGGGAGCGTTTTGGTGCAAAATCGAGAGCTGCTGCTCTCACTTGCGTTTAAGCAGGCATAAATATGAATGTTCTTTACGTGACACAGCAGAGCAGCTTCGAATGCAATGAGGGTGAAGAAATTAGAAATATCAACCTGAACGCAAAGCCTTACGCCGTATTCACGGTCAGATCATGCCGAGCCCCGTTGAATATTAAAATAAAAATTCTGCGTCAAGAAAACAGCTTGAGTACGTTTGAAATTTTTTTTTAGAAATGCAACTGCCTCTGGATACTATAAGACTCCGAACAATGGAATACTCCACTGTTCAAATTACCTCTACTGGCCGGCTTTTGCGATCTCAAAGGCGAAGCATCCATACATAAGTCAGACACCCAGCTACCCGACTTTATAGAAATCCAACCTATAGTACCTTATTATCTTAACACCATTCCACCTCCAGGTTTAGGCATATTGCCTACTTCGCTTGCTAAAGTGTATCTCTTTATGCTACCCCGTAGTTTATACTACTAATGGCAACTCAACCACCTACACAGTCAACCATAGGTAGCCCTTTCTCTACGTCTGGTCACTCACTTCAGAGCTGCCAGAATTACGCAGCACTTTCAGATCCGAATCTATGGGTCTGTTGTCTCTTACTTAACTGTATTCTAAGTAAACCCATTTGAGCGTACAAAAGGCATGACATTTGAAGGTCGTTGCAGGTCATCTTTTCATTGGTTAATATACTTTGAAAACCCTATATAACAGCGTACCCCGTCAGTGGCATCACCTGCGCTGGTATGTTGCGTTCTGTCCCGATAAGCGAGACGTATGGGGTGCTGGAAGAACTGACTTCAGGCGCAGCGGCCACTGTTTACAGGGGTGTGCGAAAGTGTGATGGGTTGCCGGTCATCCTAAAGGTATGTACAAGAGACGCGACAGCACCCAGATTACCGGCCTCCGAAGTGACTTCTATGTGTGTACCAAACGAGTACGTCTTCCTGAAGAAGGTACAACACATCGATGGGTGTGTGCGTATGCTGGATTTCTCTGAAGAGCCATCCAACAACAAATGGACAATAGTACTTGAGGACCTGGAGGCCGCAGGCTACGTCAATCTTGCGAGGCTCATTAATTGCTCCTTCCAGTTGAATGATGTTGTCATTTCATGGATACTACGAAGCGTAGTCAAGATACTCACTGAAATCCATGCCGTTGGGGTTCTTCACTGTGATATCAAGCCAGACAACATTTTTGTGGATTTCAAAAGGTCCCTTGTAAAACTGATAGATTTCAACTTTTCTGCCGCTACGACATTCACGGATCATAACGATATTCCGCCGTGCACGCCAGATTATGCGCCCCCCGAAGTGTTGGTCAACCGGAATCCTTGGACGGTTGCGGGAGAAGTTTGGTCTCTTGGTTGTACCGCATTTGTTATGCTGTGCAGGCGTTTTCCCTTTTCGAATCCTTGGATGTCGGCCTCTATGAACCCGGCTTATCCCCCGTGCAAGTCTGATCTCGCTAGCCACTCATGCCGTAGCTTGTTAACTTATAAACCCAAGTGCACGGTGACTACGGGGGAAGCCGTGCTCTCACCAAAAGCGAAAGATTTTCTTTTATTTTGTCTTACTCGTTCGCCTTTACAGCGACCAACTCTCAGTGCGTTGTCCCAACATCCGTTTCTTAAGAACAGTGACAAAGTAATAGACATTCCAGATATTGACGAGGTGTTGCGTTCGCCGGCAATTTTGGTCTCATAGTGGTACCCCTCCTATGTGTTTTATGTGGTATATCAGTAACCGTTGCTATTGTGCAAGTGTATTAAAGATATTTGTCCTTTCATTTGACTTAAGTTTATTTATTCTCTTGTCAGTGGTGTGGATAGCCATTAGATTGGGCTTCCGGCAGTCCTCTGAGATTCACCTATTTCTGATACCGGGGATGTGATTTTAAGTTCTTTGAGACTCGATCCGGGTGTTCGGGTTAATAACTATCTTACGCATGTCCAACATCAACATGAGTGTAAATATTATGATTAACGCAACTTCGATCGCTCCAAAGCTCTGAGGAGCTGGTGAATATACGGTGGTGGGAGATGTTTATATTAGAACCACCTCTGCTAGAACTACACTATGCCCACTGTACGTTAGGATAAAGTTGTGCAGTCGTTGCTTGAAAACAGTACCAAAAGGTTCTATTCCAGGATCGTAATCGTCAACATCTTTCTCCCTTTTCCTCTCTACGATCATATGCCATAACGACATCTTTCCTCTCCGGCAGTACGAGTTGAACGTGTCATATTTTAAATCAGACCAACCAGCAAATGACGGCAAATGTTCATCAGTATTGAATTAACAGAAGACAGCATGTATTCTGTTTTAACCCCGCACCACATTAACTTGCCCTGCCATCGAAATAAGTTCTGGCGCAGCATTCTCAAGTGCTATTTTGGGTAGTGTTTCATTTTATCCTCCACCACCGCAGTGGAGAGGGACCGTCAGTGATTGACGACCGTGTGTGACGGTAGGGTCGTCGCCAACAGTGTGCACGTAGTCTGTCACCAGGGCGTGAAGCGACCTTTCTAGGTCGTCGTCACGTAACCGCAAGTCTGTGCACTATAGGTTTTGTGATGCCATTGAGGATGTGATGGTATGTGATTAGGTCTTCAGCACCCTCTCTTGGGGAAGTCCGTTTAGTGACTCCAACCCCCCGACCCTTCCAACAGATATATCGTAGCTTTGAACTATTCCGTTTTGATTTATATCTCTTTGAATGCAAGCCGTTATCCGTGTATTCCAGGAGTTGTTGCGCATGTTTGGCACTGTGCTCTGAACGCCGTCCAGTAGCTCCCCGAGCCATCGCGTAATGTCGATTCCCATGGACCGCTGTTTTAATTGTGTCCGAGGCCATCACGCCGAGGTCTTTGCCGTATTGACGGCGTTCCATTCAAGTGAGGGGGAATGGTGCCTGCCTCGCCACTAATGCAATTGAGTGCATCTGTATGGGTCGATTATTTGCGGCTATACCCGTGACCATTCAGACAGACGATTCGTACCCTCCTGTGAGAAGTCACGAAATTTCCGCCAGTTGTCATTTGCGTGTCAACACTGATATTTCTGTCTCTGATGATAATGACCGTATACCATTCGTCATGTGTAGTAGCACCGTCGAAATCCTTGATGATTCCTAGCCCTATTTGAGACAAGAGGGAGCCATAATGATTTCCTAAAACCACACCTTGTCTCCGTTGATCTCGGTCACGCAATGTAGGCAGCAATTAAGAGGCAGCAACATCAGTGTTGATACCGTTGATTCACAGTGGCGAGATGGCCCAACTGGTTAGAGCGCGAATTTACTGACCGGAAGGTCCGTGGTTCGAACCCGACCTCTACCACTCGACTTCCCCTACCTAGACTTGGGCAACCTGGCAGTATCCCAGCCCTCGGGCAACCTTCGGGTGGCATGGCAGTTAGGCACCGAAAGGATGCTACAGCTGAACGATTTTTTAGTGGCGAAGCATCAGTGTTGAACACTAATGTTATGCTCTAGATGATGGTGGTGATTCACTGCTCTACAACCACAAATGTTTTCTAATTATATTCCTTCATGCGCTCAATCAGACAATCTGGAAAGAAACTGACAGAACACGTGTCATTGACATCGATTAGCCGCCATTTGTTGCAATGTCTCATGTCAAGCGAAGGAGGTGCCACGGGGACCTCAGCGTGAAAGGCGAACTACACAAAAACACCGCAACTCTTCGCTGTCTGTTTCATATTCTTCTGCCGAGTCATACCTTGTCAACTTCGTGGTTTGTGCCATTCTCAAGTGGGAATGGAAAACAACACTCATTTCAGTAGACGGTGTTTTGGCGTGCTTAGCGCGTGGCCGATCCATCGCAGTTAACTCTGTTTGGTGTTTTCAGCCACTGAAGTACCTGCTGCACAACTACACACCCAGTTTCTAATTACCTCCGTGAATTCGTTGACGCCACCCGACACCAACAACGCTTCTGAAGCATCGGTAGTAAAAAACCTGAATACACCTCACATCGTCTGTCGGCAGACGTCATATCTCGAAACCATACAGCAATACAGTCCTTACTGTAACATGGTCCATGTGACTCTTGTGGCGCAGTGAGATGCCTTTTTGACGCCACAATTGACGCAAATTAGCAAACGTGATTGGGATCTTTGAGGTTCGTGCGTTGACTTCATCAGACACCTTCATCAGAGCCAATACAAATACCGAGGTGTATAATCCTCCGCAACATCAAGTAGGGAGGCTTTTTAGAAATTTCATCGTACACTCACACGCCCAGAATTACGTTGGTGTAGGGACCGGCTTGTATGTAAACTTCTGGTTCATTTCATGTTGAGCAAATATGGGTAACAGCACTGACTGATTGACAAGATTGCACACACTCTTGCAGTCAATGAACACCAGAATTGTAGTTCATCTGAACATATGGTGCTGCTCTGACACTTGATGGAGTGTAGAGATGTGGTCGACGCAGCCTCTCTGAGGTTGAAATCCCGTTTGGTGCTCACGGGTTAGTGCTTCGCTCGCCCAATTCAGAGTGGCGTAAGCAGAGACGTGGTTAAACTTTAACTTGGCAGAGGGGTGTGAAGGAGATTGCGAAACGCTTGGGTGCTGTCGGTGCTTTTCGCCTTCCAGGATGGGGATCGCGTGATCCCCACTGCGCTTTGCTGGAGACACTGCAAGATATGATTGCCAACCGATGTGGCAGGCATTCTTATCAGTTTCTATCTAGATTGTCTGAGTGAATGTCTGGAGGTGTAGGCACCTCGGAATGATTGTAGCAAGCTCTAGGTCCATGGCACCTCGGAATGATTGTAGCAAGCTAGCGCTAGGTCCATGCCCGTCCACCTTTATTCAAGGCTTTCAAATAAATCATGGTTGTACGGCAGTGAGGCATCGGTGTTGAACGCTGATATTATGCTGTCAGTGATGATGATGATGCTTCACTCACCGTCGTAAGATAACGAAGAATCGGTGATCCCAGAAGCCTTATCACAACGGGAGTCAAACTGACACATCTGTAGCTACTACGTTCAACGCGAGTACCATTTTTGGAGGTGGGCATCATTATCTATTCACTCCGATTGTCTGGGTCGGTTTATCTCTCCACCTTCGTAGTTAGTACGGGGAGGCGGTGCATTGGTGGCCTTGTGCCCAGTGGCAGTTTCCTCAAATGAACATAATGGAATTCGGCGACCCAAAATTTCTTAGGAACTACCTCTCGATAGATTTCCAAGTAGGTGTAGCTCCGAAAAAACGGCCGTGATCACACGGATATGAAATGGAGGCCCGTAGACTCGGTTTCATGGTCTATCAGCTGAGGTCACAGATTCTGATTGCGTAACGTTCACTAATATTTGCAGCAGAGAACCGCACGGTGAACTGCATAATTTTTGGAGTTATACACTTAGTTAAAAATTAAGTCGTTGTTAACGGGAGGTTTAACTGAATTCTCTGCGGTATTCTTCAACAGCCACCTCGTATTCAAGAAGACTGCTAGCAAGGTGGATCAGATGATTTCCCCGTGTACATGTATTGCAATACAATGTTTTCCGTTTGTCGATCATCACAATCATTTGGAACTTGTTTGAAACTAGTGGCGAGCGGCATCCGCATTTCCATAAGTTCGATGTAAAACGGCCACTGTCAGGTGTTTGTTAGATGACTTTCAAAGACGTACATCTAAGCGTAAATTTTACGTAAATTTTATGAATTGAGAATCCGTCTAATGACTACTGCCCACGACGGAACAGCGTGACTTGAGCCAAGTCATAATGAACCTAGCACACTGATACTGGATTTTTGTTGAAACATGCCTTCGTGCAAAGAGGCGGTGCGAGAACCTCAGAAAAATGTGGCAAACGTTTTTCAATGCACTCTGTGAGAAAAAGTCTAGAACGCAACGCGGGTCTTGGACGGAGATTACGTTGTGACCCGTTCCCTTTGGAACTACGTGTTACTGCGTGTTTGGCCGAAAAATGTCATATGAACGAAAAATTCAACCGAAAGCCGAGTGGTCCTGAAGGTTCTGTGCGTGTTGCTGGAAATAGTGTTCTCCCAACGGTACTGATATGCAGATTTCGACGAGCTGAGTGAAGTCGTAGCCAATAATTCTTTGATAATTTAGTTATCTTCCAGTAAGTAATGATAACCATAATCACTCACTCACTCCTTTCGGTGCCTAGGTGCCATGCCACCCGAAGGCGGCACGAGGTCTGGGATACTCCAAGGTTGCCCAAGCCAGGACAGGAGAAGTCGAGATGCAGAGGTCGGGTTCGAACCACAGACCTTCCGGCCAGTAAATTCGTGCTCTAGCTCAATCTCGTCCCCAGTTTCCCTGTAGAGAATCGAAAATATCTTCTCATGATCTTCAACTGAATGTACTTCACCCAGCCGCTTGATGTTTCAGTTGGTACGACACGGCAGTATTGCAGTGTGGTGAATAAGCGTAGCACACTGCTCATAAGGTTGCTGAAAACTCTTCGACAGCGCATGACCGGTCTCGCCCTTAGGATTCATCATGCAGGTGCAGTCCCCCGAGTTCCCTTCAACCCCATGTTCGACTTGAGCCCGAATTCCACGAAATTAGCGAAACACGCTCATTTCTATACCAGTTTGGTTTTCACGGGATATCCAGCTAAGTCTCTGTTCAATATATTGCGATATTGCCGTATTGTGCCAACTAAAATATGGGGCGGCCTGTTGCATCCTATTCAG